TAAAGGGGAAGTCCAAAGATTTGCCAACATTTCTGCATATTTCCGTGGTTGAGATGCAAACAAAGTCATTCAGAGTTGAAGTGAAATGATTCACTGAAAAAAAAAAGAAGCTTACTGACTCTGATGTCTTTACATTGGTGCTGATAGGAAGCAGGGGTCACAATGTCTACAACACAAATATAGCCATTTTATTTACCATCCAAAACCACCAGTGAACCTACATGTGTCTTCTGAGTTTTTATATGTAGTGGTGATGATGGTGATAAATGTGAAATGGTCCAAAAAGGCCTGGCTGGGTGGGTTTTGTGTGGAAGAACTTGACTGGCCCTCACAGAGCTCTGACCTCAACCCCATCGAACCCCTTTGGGATGAACTAGAACAGAGACTGTGATCCAGACCCTCTCGTCCAACATCAGTGTCTGACCTCACAAATCCACAGACTCTCTCCAACATCTTGTAGAAAGCTTTCCAGAAGAGTGGAAGCTGTTATAGCTGTAAAGTGGGACCAACTCCATATTAATGCCTATGGATTTAGAACGTAAAAGCTCCTATAGGTGTAATGTTTGTGTCCCAATACTTTTGTCCTTATAGTTAGTCTATATGCCTGACCCTTTATGATATATGTGGATATACGCCGTTATATCAGATTTCCGTTTGGGCCTGCTCAAGAGTGCCAATGCTTTCCTGCTGAGATCACACAAGCTGTGTTTGAAGCACCTGAAAGTAGCTGAATTCATGATTTATAAAGGGTGTCTGGACAGTTCTGGACACGTAGAGTACCTTGGATGCTGAGCAGATAACAGAAGGACAGCTGTTGAGCTCAGTGTGGAGGGAGCGGAACCTTCCCGCTGTGGCTTCAGTTCCCTCCGGCGCTGGCGGACCTGAATGTGACAGTTTGTAAACAGATTCAGGTGAGTCATTATTTTTACTGAATTTTACTGGATTTATGGAAAAATAAGACGTTTATCTTCGTTTCTCTGTAGCGTCTGTATAGTCTGAGATCATTTGGGCGGTTGGGGCTGTGCTGGCTGCGCTTCATGTCTGTCCAAGGAAAGCAAATGTCATTGTTCAAGGATGTTCGTGACAGCCTGCTGCTGGACGGCTAGGCTAGGTGGCTAATGCTAACACGGCTGGGTCGCTTATAAACATCACAGAGAAGGAAAGTCTGAGCGGACAGGTAGTTAAGGTAACCTGGTTAACCCAGCCTTTTCCTGAATGTGTATTTTAGGAACTGTAAATGCTGTGTTTTCACTCTGCTTCCACATTTCGCCGCGTATTACTATATTAATGCTGGGTTTGCGACGAAGCTGAAATTGGCTTCGTTTGAATTTCCCGTTCCACCTTAAATGGTGCAGCAGTTACGTTCAGGCACTTAAGGCGTCAGAATGGAGCTGCAGCACCATTTAAGGTGGAGCGGGAAATTCCCATAAGAAGCCAACTTAAGCCTCGAGTGTTTGCTAGCCGAACCGCTGTACAGCTGTGGCTGCATTTTCACAATACTCGGGTATTATTATTATTATTATTATTATTATTATTACTACTACTAAACGCATCGTTTTAAGAGATTTGCTATCTAGCGAAAAGCTAGCTAGTTAAAAGCATTGGAAGCCTGATAAAAGATGCACTTAGAGGGAAAGTCCACCAATTTTTCAAACTTTCAGAATTTTTCAGTCCTTGTGATGTAAACATTCAGTCATTCAGTACGATTTGAATTGAAATGGTTAATTACAGAGAAATGTACAGACTCTGATTGCTTTACAGTGGTGGTAATAGGAACCAGGGGTCACGATGTCTACAAATATAGCCATTTTATTTACTATCCAAAACCACCAGTGAACCTACACGTTCCTTCTTATTTTCGAGTTTGTGTTTGTAATGTTCATGGTGGTAAAATAGAAGTGAAAATAAAATATATTTTGAGAAAATTAGTTTTTCCTAACAATGTCCTTCCTGTATGACTCTGCCATGAATGGATTACAATAAATAAATGGATTCAAATACAATTAAAGCCAAATCTTTATATATATATGTATATCAACTGTATATCACAAAACAAGGCAGCATATATGTAACCATTTTAAGCAGGAATTTTCTGTGAGGGAGCTTTTAGAGGGGGACGTCTGCTTCCTATCACCACCACTGTGAACAATACTGACTCGGTAAGTTTCCCTAGAACAGAGCGTTTTGCACCAGACCACTCTGAATGACTTTGTTCACGTTTCCACCTTAACAGGTCCCCTATTAGGCCTCAGTTGTTTACTAGGTGTAACTTCTGCTGCAGTTTCATAATACCCATGCCTTATCATTGTTTTTATTATTACTGTTATTATAATGTCATTTTAAAAGCCTTGTTAGCTAGCTTTTATTTTTACAGCAGAACTGGTTAAGAGCATTAAAAGCCTGATAAAACATGCACTTAAGCAGCCTCCCTTCCTTTTCAGGAGTATCTCCATTAAGTAACAGATCTGAGATCAGTGCTATATGCGGATTAGTTCAGATTCTACAGCTGCCCTGCGTTGGTCTACTGTGCAGAAATTTCTCCATTTTATTCATTGTACTGCACTTGTAACCCTATAGAAATACATATTATATTTCTCCATAATGCTAAATCAGGTAGACATACTTCCAGTGTCTACATTTCATACATTTTTATCAGCATCAGCCCACATGTAGATGCAAAATAGATGGACTGTAGTCCATCTGTTTCTCTGCACACTTTGTTAGCCCCCCTTTTACCCTGTTCTTCAGTGGTCAGGACCCCCATGGACCCTCACAGAGCATGTACTATGTGGGTGGTGGGCTCACAAAGTATGCAGAGAAACAGATGGACTACAGTCTGTAACTGTAGAACGACAAAGTGCACCTGTATAGTAAGTGGAGCTGATAAAATGGACAATGAGCGTAGAAACAAGGAGGTGGTCATAATGTTATGCCTGATCGGTGTATCATACATCAGCATCAGCAAACAGTTTGCATATAGACGCATCCCTGATTCTAAGTATTTTGAAATTAGAGAGACCTTGTCTTATTTTTTTATAGTGCACGTGATTTACTGTAGCATGTATTAATAGAGCCTTCATAGACTCTTAAGACCTGCATGTACCTCTTTATGCTGTCATCACATAACAAGAAGATTCTTACAGGCCCAGTATATGGAGAAAATATATAATTAATGTTAAGTGTGCTGTGCTGTGACAAAAGTGAGGGGTCGCAGTGGTCTGTAGGAGGGAAAAATGTCTTTTTTCTTTTTTTCATTTCTGCTGAGGTTACAGTAACATTAGGCCTGTAGATAGTTAAGATGGGGTAGCAAGTTATACTGTATGTCCAGAAGTTCATTCCACAGTTCTTCTGGTATCCAGGATAACATAAATGTGCACAGGCGCTCTTAAACCCAAAACACTGTGTTATGCTAAGTCAGGTCAACGTAACATTATTAGGCAATTTACACTATATGTCCAAGTGTTTGTAGATGGCTGCCCATCCCACATTTCCTCTGAAGTCAAGAGTATTAATAGGGAGTCTGTCCCCCCGTTTTTAAGGAAGTGACAGCGTCTACTCTTCTGGAAAGAGTGCCTTGTGATATTCTCTAAGAAAGGCTATACACTGGAAACTCCCCTCCATCCCCATCTTGCCAAAACTCCCTTTACTGCATTTGAACTCTCAGTGATGTAAACAAGCTGGCCTTCATTCCAGAATATCCCTTAATTCCTGCTCACTACACAGATATAAATCTGAAAATTTTAATCTTTCTGTAACAAACACTACTGTTCAAAACCTCACTTATTTTAGTTATTTTATTTTAGTTAGTTATTTAGGGTATGACATGCATTTTTTGTGCCAAAGTGCATTATTTTCCCAAAGAATAATTTAATAAATATGGCACACATCAAATTATTCAACAATACATCTTCCATATAAAACAGTTGTCAGTGCATCCATATAAAATGCGTTTTAGTTTCTTTTTGCCTCCAGTCTAAAAATGTCAGGTGGTGCAAATGTCCAACGGTTTACGTTGATTCAGTAAACTATCAAAAAATGTGATTTAGTGATATGAAATTCTAAATAAAATAGTTTGGCACGATTTTATGTTTGAAAACTTTAAAGTGAAAAATGTTGCAAAATAAGGAACTTTAAAAGTGCTCGACTCACTGAAAAACTTCTGTACACAAGTTCTTACTTCCTCAAGTGTCAGACTGTACAGCCTACACACTGTTATTCATACAGGCTTTTACAAAAGAGGGGCCAGTATATTGCCTCATAAAGACAAACCCAGTTGACCTTCATTGTGCAATGCCAAAGTCAGTAGCCCTTTCACAAATTTTGGGAAAAATGTCATTTTTGAGTCGTGGTTAAAATGGTTCCATTTACCATGTCAGGTGGTCTGACCTCAGGAGAACCATGAAAATGTGTAATTATTAAGAATTATTCATTTGAAAAAATAAACTCAAGTTCAACGACAAAGGTTTATATGGGTGTCTAAACAGATGCCTGTTTAATTTGAAATTAGTCTGAAAAGTCAGGTGGCGCAACCAGGAAGTCAAATGGTGCAACCAGACCAGCACAGTTTAATAACTGAAGTAGGCAATTAAAAGCTTTGACAACAGTAACTGTATTTAAGATGCAAAATGTGCGTAGATACAAATCAAATATATATGCAGATATAAAAATGCGCATCATCCTTTTTAATAAGATTTTTTAAATTTGTCATTTTGAAAACCTTATTTGTTGCTGAGCCGTTATACAATGTAGATTTAAATTTTATGAAGATGTTGAAGGTATTTTATGATATTTAAGCTATATATACTGTAAATTACATACAGCAATTATCTATTTACATGTTTTGTCCTCTACCTCTAAATCATCATTTTTCAAAGATAAGGCATTCTGAATATTGAATTTATTTAACTTCGTCCTTGATAAAGTACAACTTCACAAATAATTTTAGACTCCTTTACAGCGTACTGAACTCAGTTTATGCATTTATCTGAAACCAATATATGTTGTATATTATTGAAAACATTGATTTCAAACTATTAGTGTTAGTGTATGTGATGCAGGGCTACTGGGTGGCATCCCTGGTCATTAACAAAGGTAAATTTGAATATGTTATTGGTTCCTAATCTACGGACGTTTCATAAGCTTGTTGTAAGTCTTGGAAAATAATACACTATATTTTTTCATAAGATTTTCACACTGAATTCAGCTATTTTGTTTATAAACATCATCAGACGGTACTTACAAAGACCCACACATCATCCCTGAGTGGAGCCCTGCTTTGTCCGTGCCTCTGTGGTGGGTGGCAGTGCCTGCTGTGAGAAGGCTAAAAATAGCAATGTGTCTGCATCTCTGTCAGATTGGCTCATCTGTTAGGGGAGGTCAGAACATGAGTACTCTGGGTCTAATCTAACCAATACAGCAGACCATGTTCTGTCTCTTTTGGCCCGGGAAATCTGTCTTAAGAGCTCTTGTCAAGTGCTGTTAATGCCCCGACACAATCTGTTGCCAAGATTTGATTTTCATTGCCCATGCCCTTCAGCAGCTGGCATCAGTATTCCTAGCTTAGTGTCACCTTGCTTGTGTCGGTGTTTGAGGTTCTCTCTTTACCCCGAATGGTCTCTTGCGAGAAGTTTCGTTTCCTCTTCTGCTGAGTCTTGTGAGGCAGAGTCACTATTTGAGTGAGAATGCAGCAAATTCCTGAGTTCCGGAGCCCACCCCATATCCATTAATCCACATCCCAGTTTCCTCATGCGCACCCGAGGGATGCTGAGCGCACCGTCCTGGCATTGGCCAGAGGTGATGTAATACCCTCTACATAATGCATGGCCTTAAGAAAGTGAAAGACCCTGAGTCAGAGAGCAAAAGGCAGAGGAAATCGATGTCAGTGTGGGAGAGGGGGATGCCGGTAAGAGGCACACAAGGCAGTAGACAGTATTACATTGAAAGAAATGGCAACAAACAGTGCTCAGTGGAGAAACCGGAGAACCCCACCCATGGTCAACGTAGTAAGTGCAAGGAGAAGATCTGATCCAAAACCGGCTCAGGTAAAGTGCGTATTCTCTGTTAATTAAGGCATGTATAGTAGGAACTTCCTGTCTGGTGTTTGGATGTTACCTGTTGATTAAAAAAAAATTCTGGGCATTAAAAAACCTTCTACAGTCATGAACGGATTATTTGCTGTTTTATCTTCTATCATACCGTCAAGCTTCTTATTTGTCTTTTTGGTCTTGTGACAAGAACATCTGGGGACAATTATGTGTATTTGGTCTTAATGTAAACTTATTAAGGTAGGAACAAATAAGGTAGAGGGACAATGCTGCACCCGTCAACATTGTCCAACTGACAACAAGCCTGTCGTTAGCCCATGGATGTAATGTAAGTAAGCATGGTGGAAAAGTCCCACTAAAACCCTTCAGCTAAGCGGGTAGATATACACCGATCAGGCATAACATTATGACCATCTCCTTGTTTCTACACTCATTGTCCATTTTATCAGCTCCACTTGCTATATAGGGGCACTTTGTAGTTCTACAGTTACAGACTGTAGTCCATCTGTTTCTCTGCATACTTTGTTAGCCCGCTTTTACCCTGTTCTTCAGTGATCAGGACCCCCATGGACCCTCACAGAGCAGGTACTATTTGGGTGGTGGATCATTCTCAGCACTGCAGTAACACTGATGTGGTGGTGGTGTGTTAGTTTGTGTTGCGCTGGTCTGAGTGGATCAGACACAGCAGTGCTGCTGGAGTTTTTAAACACTGTGTCCACTCACTGTCCACTCTATTAGACACTCCGACCTTGTCAGTCCACCTTGTAGATGTAAAGTCAGAGACGATAGCTCATCTGCTGCTGCACAGTTTGTGTTGGTCATCCTCTAGTTCTTCATCAGTGGTCACAGGACGCTGTTGGCTGGATATTTTTGGTTGGTGGACTATTCTCAGTCCAGCAGTGACACCGAGGTGTTTAAAAACTCCAGCAGCACTGCTGTGTCTGATCCACTCAGACCAGCGCAACACAAACTAACACACCACCACCACGTCAGTGTTACTGCAGTGCTGAGAATGATCCACCACCCAAATAGTACCTGCTCTGTGAGGGTCCATGGGGGTCCTGACCACTGAAGAACAGGGTAAAAGGGGGCTAACAAAGTATCAGAGAAACAGATGGACTACAGAATGCATTAGTTGCAGTACAGTTAAACAACACCTCTTGAAAAGTGCACAGTCTAGAGTAATTTAGGGCGGGTTTTGGAGGGGGCATGCCAACATTAGCGGCAGGCTTTGCAGCCATTCAGCTCCAAAAGTTTAAGAAGTTGTCCCCAGATGTGTATTCTGATTATGAGATCACATCTGGCCCTGCGAGATGTTAATGATCTCATCTAATATTTCTGTTCACTAGAAATTCTGATGTACCTATGTCTTATTTGTCTTGACACAGGATGTCGATGCCTGGGGGGACTGTTGCTCCTTGTGCCACATTTAATTTCCTTTCATTTAGAAATTGCTGCTTCCTCACTTGACTGATTTACTTGACATCCAGGAATCTGTGAATGTGGGGCACCACCTAGGCTAAACAGTGCCATGACTGCTTGTGAAGACTGCCAACCATTTTTCGCCCTCCAGCTTTTCTTAGCCTAGCACAGACAGCGATGGTTGGCACGACAAGCGGTGCCTCTTCAGTTGCCTGATTAACGGCGTCGTCTTAAAGAGCTCTTGTTTGTCCTGGAAGGGGTTCTAGCCTTCGAGGAGCATCACTTTTGCCAGGCTTCCTCTTGGCCCCAGACAGCAGATGTTCCATCTGTGTTGCCTTGAGGCCTCCGGATCCTCTCTTTCCCAGGCTCACGCACATAAGGAACCCGTCTGCCTGCTCTGCCCCTCCACCTCCTCTCTGGTGCAAAGGTTGTGGAGGTAATGGAGGGCTTGGAGGTTGAGGACATCAGTCCGGCCCTTGAGGCCACCGAGGACTACTTGCACTGCCTGGACAGCGGTCAAGAGGATGGACAAGTGCGGCCGCCCATGCTGAAAGAAGTTTCGACTCTGGACAAGTTGAGCTCCAGTGGGGTGTGGGGTTTGCTTACTGGGGAGCAACCAGAGATATCACCTCGTAACCTAGCCTGGGCAGAACAGTCCTCCTCCTTTAGCGTTCTTGGCCTAAGGAATGGGAAGAGGAACCGAGCCCGCTCTACCAACGATCTGGCAGCCCATGCCAAGGACACCAACTCCACCAACACTTCTGGTGGGGGATTCAAGCGGGGGCACAACAGATCACGCTCAGATGTCAACTACCGAACCTTCACAGATAATGGCGTGCCAGCTGTTGACAAGAACACACTCAAGAACATGGCATTAAATGACCAAAGGGAAGGTAAGGATTCAGTCTGTTTTTTCCTGACCTTGATTCGTTTCAGGATAACCGTTCATTTGCATCCTTGTTCTTGCATCCTTAATTTTTTTTTACCTCTCATTATCACTCACCTTTATGTTGATTGTCTTCCCCCATCACACCTGCATTTTGTTATGTCTGCGGTTCTGTTTACTGCCTCTCACCTGCTGTTTGTAACAACATTCTCTTTTTGTCACAGAGCGAAAAATTGGGGATGGTTTACAGGATGGGGCTGTGTTGATTAGGGTTGATTAGCAGTGTCATCGAGGCGAGTGCCTGGATTTGCTGTGCGTGTGTTTGTTTGTTTGCATCCATGTCCATTTGTTTGGGCAGGCCGCAAATCTGAATTTGAAAGAGATCCTCGACAAAGAAGGTAATAGTAGGATAATGCAATTCTGTGACAAAATGGGCACAATGCTGTGAAAGAGTGAGTCCCAATTACCCCTGATATTAAGAGGATTAGCATACGAGTGAAAAGGCATTAGTCAGCTCGAGGCAAGGCAGGGATGGCAGCCTGGACCGCAGAGTCTTTTTTTCAGCGCTGCTGACTGTTCTAGCCAGTGTTCATTAAGGTAATTGCACGGTATGGGGTAGTTTACCGTTAATATAAGCAATGTCACCTTTTTTCAAGGTATTTCATTGGTTTAGTCCTGTGTTCACTCATTCAGATAAAATTGATTAATTGCAACCCTCTGAGAAAACCCACACTTGTGTTGCTCAGAGTACTTTGTTACACCTGCCTGGTAGTGCTTGTCACTTCCCATTCTAAATGTGACGTCGTCTGGGCTAGTGAACGTGAAATGCCGAATTGTCGTCGAAATGCGCCAAGGGGGAACAAGAAGGAAGTTGAAGTGGATTGCACGGTAGAATGCCCTTTCCTTCCCTAGTGACTCCAACCGAGCAGAGCTAAAGCCTGCGGGACATTTAAAGATTTGCATTGCCTCCTTGAAATTCTAATGCTGATGGATCTGTTGATTACAGCAGAGGGAAAAGCCTCAGTACCCCTTTCTCAACACTAGCCTTCATTTTGTAACATGAACTCGATTCATTTCCTTGTTTTCTTTAATTTTTAATTTCAGCCCGGATGGTAGACACTTCAGAGCTACCACTTTTCTCGTGTGTATGTGATGTCTTTAAACCATTGTACTGTGGAATCATTGCACAAAATTTTGTTAAAAAATATAATGAGTGTGCTACACATGATGATACACTTATTTTCAAGACGTGCAATAGTGTAGTTAGGAGTCGTAGTCAGTTAATTTATATCAGAAAAATTAATGTGCCTTACAGTAGGGATGCACAAGAGGAGGTACAACGTTCAAGAGCTTCTCCACTACAGATTTGATAGCACTTGAAAACACAACGTCCCACTCAATATGCAGAATACATAAAAACTACAGAAGCAGAAAGCAAAGTCCCTGTGAGCACGACCGGTAAGCCAAAGTGCAAATTATAACCAAAAAATAATGGAATTTATTGCCCTGAATGACCGGTCGTTCTCTGTTGTTGAGGACGCTGGATTTCGTGGTGCATACTGTAGCCCACATACTGTAATAATTTTACAAAATTTATTTAAAGTATATATGTTTTCATGCATTGTCAGCTCAATGTCAGAAGGATGTTATCAATAAAAATATATTTTCTTCATTACCTCGTAGTTTTTATGTTTTTTTATTCAAAGGTTTTCAGTTTTGGCCAGGAATTTTCATTTCACTTTACAGGTCATATTGGGCCCAAGAATATTTTGCAGATAAAGTATAATGCAAAAGTTTTAGACACCTTAAAATTTTAAAATCACAATTAAAAAGCTGTTTATCTGGGCAGTAGCCTAGTTTTTTTTGAGCAAATAAACACTTATTATAACAATAAATAACATTAATACAGTAAACAGTGATTTTTGTGCATCTTAGTGTGTTTGTTTAACCATTTCTAAACTTCTCCTTATGGAAACCCAGTGTTAATTGTAGTTATTATCAAGTACCTGGTTTATGTTGATGAAATTTAACAAATTCATGTGATGGCTGAAGGCATCCAGGAGAAATCTGCGTCCAGACTTTGCTCTCAAACTAGCTTACTACTTTTTTGAAAGTGAGGTCTCATTATTATTATTATTATTATTATTATTATTATTAATATTATTATTTTTACTGTATTTATGTTTAAGTGTATATATTCTAATGATGTACGGTGTTTTGACAAGCAAAAACACATTTATTTCCAAAATAATTGGTCTTAAATAATAACTCAGGTACCTATGACTTTTGCACAGTATGGCATTTATATAGAAACGTACAAGAATAGTGTTAATAGTCCCTTAAACCTTCATTAAATACTGCTCGGACTGTTAAGTCTTTTCCCTTGATTATTAGGGCTTAAAGAATGGCGTCAGACATCGCCGTCAAAACGGGGAGTGCTGGCTGGTTTAGTCAGCGAAAACAGCAAAAATTGAACACCATGCTTGAGTTTGACATCTTTTACATACCTTTTAAATAATACTTTTTAAATACTAACATTAGTAAGATGCAGAAAAAGTTTGTTTCTTTAAGCACCAAGAAATTCTATACTTAATGTCTAAGCTGAATGACTTATGTACTTTTCTTACGGGATAAGTTTTCCAAGGAGAGGTGGGGTAATACCAGTTTATCACTGGACGTCTGTAATGTTCATGACTAGTTCATGCAGAATAAGAAATCTCAGTATAAATGACAGTGATGGGAGTAGCTGTTTAATTTATGCAATGCCTTTATTTCGGGAAATAGTAGAAAATGTTAAAAACGTCTAGTTTAGCCGTAATTTCATTTGTCTTGCTGTCTTAAGTGAAAACACTGTGTCATTAGCATTGGGAAATCACAGCCAACAGTCAACATCTTTGCATAAAAACAAGCTTTTTTATGTATTTCGATGTTCAGAGTGAATCACTTGATGAAGAAAGTTCATATCTGCTTAACAAAGGTAAACGCTTCTTCAAGGATCTCCATACTTAACCTCCTTTTTGACCAAATATAGTAGCATTTTTTGTCAACATGACGATTTGCACTGGGTTAATATAAGGTGCTGGAATCTTTACTGATATTTGAGCATGCAGTCTGTAAAAATGACCAGCAAAGCACATTTGAATGGGACTAAAATCTCTCGAAAAATGACAGTAAAAATGATATTACTCCACATCCTCATGTAAAACTAATCCCGTCCGAATAGTACTTTAGACGCCAGAAGACTAGAGGTAGACGCTGCTCCTCCGGCACAAACCAGTTCATCCTTTTACACTGTGTAATGTTAGTGATCAGATCTGAATTTAGTGTATATTTACATTTCAAAAGTGATTGAGAATTTCTCTTTGACCAAAAGCGAACCTGCCAGTTACATCCTAATGTGTGTATCTTATCCAAACTAGGAGGCATGTGAGTTTGGAAATAAGGGTTAAGGCTACTTTATGGAAGAAAAAACACTGCATTTTGTAATAGCTTTGTTGAAAAGGCTTAAATATAGCTTGTTTTCTGATCTGTTTTTATTGTCGTCATTGTACTGGAACGAAACCTCCCAAAATAAACCTTAATGTTACCTCTCTTTAAATCAGCTCAGTCTGTCCTATAAGTTACAAGTGGTCATTACTTTTATGGTAGGTTTAAACATATCAAACCCTATTATGATTGGCCTGGTGTAACTGGGAGTTAATGCATCTCCCGTTTCAGTTTGGCCTTTAAGGCTCCGGCTGTAGAGCCTAAAGCCCATTTATTGATAGTCGTATTTCCCCCCGATACAAAATGGCCAAAGATTATAGCCCTAAGTTTAAAACAACATTTATCATCGCATCATTGCATGTGAGCTCTACCCTCTTGGTCTGATTACAGCCCTCGGGGAGCGCTGTGCTGTGTGGCTGTGTTGGTGGTTTTAACAGAAAATCAGTTTTGATTGCAGGTTGCGTCTCCTTGTTTTAGACGGGGGATTATGTCAGGCTCGTGGCGGGAGCCTAATTGAAAAAAGCAGAACGTAGAACGTAAGCTAATTGTGATCTAGTAGCCCTCAAGCAGGACACAGTCTGTTTGACAGGAACACAATGGAGCTTGCCTACTCATTTGCATGTTTATTGGTCCTCCACTGATACAAGTTAATTAAAATGAACTCGGTAAGATTATCAATCAATGTTTATCTTGAATAGAAATTGTTGGTTGGGCTCTTTAAAGTCCTTAAAGAGACATGCTGGCCAAAATGAAAAATGTAACCAGTGCATCTGTTGAAAACATGCTGCTAGCATCTTGCAGATGTGCTGCAGTAGTCTCTAGATCAGGGGTGTCAAATTCAACGAGTGAAAGGGCCATATTAGAAAATCTCTACAAATCTGTGAGCCAGAAAAGAAAATGTTTTTATTTGATTTTTAATTAATGTTATGCTATAACCCGAACTGGCCATTGTTTATTCAAAATATGCAAAAACTTCAAAAGTAATATACAGGCACTTGGAGTAGACCTTGAAATATTACATGAATGCTTGAATATTTGTTGTTTAATGAACTTGCTGCAGGCCGGAGAGGATTGTGCCGTGGGCCTGATTTTGCCCACAGGCCTTGTGTTTGACACATGGGCTCTAGATTGAGATTTTCTTGGTTAAAGACTCGGAAAAAAACCCATCTGAGGATGTGTGTTGAAAGTGGGAGGAACATTTGAAAGACTACATGCAGTTTGCGGTGGATTTTTAAGGGAGGGCTGTATGAAATGTTGTTGTTTCTCTTGCTGGCTAGAGCAAATGGAACCTAGTGTACCGCTAGGAACCAAGTATAATATCAGTAATAGCTTCTACATCTGTGACTATGCTAGCACTCAGGATTTCTTTATCACTGTGAGGATGTTCCCAATGGTTAAATCATAGGCATGCTGGGTATTGTAGTGAGAAAACATTGATGAACGACAAAAAAGACACAAAATCATGATTTCTGTCAAGCTGGTAAGGCCAAAGGATGCACTGCTGCGCAATAGAATACAGGGTTCAAAAAGATTCATCCGATTTCAAAATGATTTATTTCTTTTGTAAATCTTTACAGAACAGTGCAGTAAACTGTAAATGGTTTAAATGAGCATAAAGTTTATTATGTAATTTTACAAGTGCTCAATATGAAGCTCCTCCAGCTGTACGGACAACATCAACGCCATAGTCAAACTCATCCCATACAAGATTGAGCATGTTGGGTGTCGCTGCACTCACGGCTCTTTCAGTGTGATTTCGGAGATCATCCAGTGTTGTGGAACCAACGACGAACGCTCTGATCTGTTGGAGCTTCACTGCCCACGAAAATCACACTGCACAGTTATGACGGATTCACTCTTATTAAAGTGGAGAACGCAGAACCCTTTCTGCTCAGGGGTCTCAGCTCCTCTCAGACTGAAGGGAGCCGTCTTCCACTGACAGTCAGAAACTCTATGGCCACCTCTTTCAATTGGTATGTGATTGGTTCCTAGGCGCCTCACGGTTGTAAAAATATGGCACTTTGAAATCGGGTGAATCTTTTTGAATCACCCTGTATTTTGCAATGTGACAAACACCGTATTAAATGCCAGTTCTAGGCCGGAATGCCCCTTCAAATGGCCATACATGACAATCCTGGGTAGACCTTTGAGCTTACTCAGCTTACTTCAGAACGTTGCTGCTGATTCCTCGGTACCTGATTTGGACTAGATGAGGTCATAACGATGTCATTTGATCTTAGCAAATATGACTAAGCTTTGTCCCTGGTGCCCTTTTTATATATTACCCTGTCCAGGCCTTGTTAAAGTGCTGACCGGCACAGCGCCGACTTGCTAATTGAGTCATGTCAGCGCGCACTTCTCCTCTAGCGTGAAATTAACACTGACCCTTTCCATGTCTGTAAACTCGAATGTTCCTTTGAAGCACTGAGAGCAAGGGAAGCCCCACGGCCTCCAGAGAAAGGTTCCAGAAGGCCGAAGCACAGCAGCCCTCCTGGCACCCGATGATGCCTCCCTGACTGACTCAAATTAGCCCAGCTTACAGTATGCTTAGTTTATCAGCCTCGAGGCAGGGAACAGCCCATTATGTGCACTGTGCTTATGGAAGCTGCAGTTTTGACTGTTAGATTGGAGATAAGACCTAAGAACAACATTTGGGAAGTTGCTTTTAAACAGCCTTCCATTTGACCTCTGTCAGATGCGAGTGTCCGAGAGTGTACGGTGCCAGTTCCAAACACCCACCACGATTCTTAGGCTCGAAAGGAAACCTGCTTGTGCCCTAGCCAAGGAAATGTAGGGAAGAAGGGTGCCGTGGAGGGAGAGAGGAAAGGAGATAACGGAGAGGCACTGTGCGAAAGAAGTGAGCAGACAGAGGAAGGGCTGAAAAGGAGTGCCCCAGATTAGGGGTCGCTCTCGGCCGTTTTGTTTGCACAGTGGTCCTGCAAACAATGATGTTTCTTCCTGCTGAGGTCACAGGGAATTCTTGTGAGGGAACTCTTGCTAGGACTCGCCGAGCCGCTATCACATAGCAAAATATCATCCATCACTGGCCAATGCGAGCATCTGTGTTCATCACTGATAAATGTCGTATCAGAGAGCAGTTCCTCTGGGAACTTTAGGTCTTATCGAATTAAAAAATGTCTGAACCTGACTTGGCAGCCTGGCCAATAAGTCGTACCTCGTGTTTAACTGTACAAGCGACGGCTGTATGGGAACTGTTTACTCACTGTCTTGTGGACATGACGCCGGTGTGAGCATCTGGGTGTTGCTAAAGAAATTGGAGACTATAATGAAGTAATGATGAGTTTGCCATTCTCTGAAAGTTTGACTGACCATATTCATACATTAGTGTTACTGCAAAGACGCTTCCAGTAATATGATGTCCTGCCTGTTTCTGGAGGTCCCTCGGTTGAACTATGCATTTTTTTCCAATAATGTTGGAATGGAATATATTTCAGTATAAATATGTCTGACATAATCGGAAGCGAACTGGATTTTCATCTTTCATCTAGGTTAGCAAGCAAGTCAACATGTATAAAAGTGTTTTTATTGTGTTTAAATATTGTTTTTTTATTGTATTAGAAGCAAGAAAGCTGCATTTAGGCTGTCCTTTTTATCTTGACACTGCCGTCTTTGTGGAGAGGTGTTAATTGTTTTCGCAACTGGGGGTTCTCACCTCCCTTTTACCCCTCGTTGCTCTCTAGCAGCTCAATACATAGTCACATTTTATACACAGAGCCAACAGTGTCATTTGAGTATAGTAACTACGAATGTTGGAGTTGATTCCCATTCCACCAGGAGAATGTCCACTAGAGGGCCTGCAGAAAGAGGTTAAATGTGCTGGGTGGGAGTTCAAAGTGTATCCGTAGCGTAGTCGATGTGTTTCAGCAGACCCGTTAAAGCCAGTGACAGCTGTGCAACAAGTCATCAGTCTGTATGTTTTGCATGATACAGTGAGGAAAAATCACTTATTTAATTCCTTTGGTGTCGATCCCGAAATTTAGCGCACTTAAGCGCAGAATGTTTAGGTGATACTGGGTTACTTAGTTTGTTTTATTCATTTTACTGCATTTGTAACCCTACAGAAATAAATGTTATGTTTTTCTAGTGCTAATCCAGGTGAATCTAGTGCCAAATTAATACATTTCGGACTAGTTTATCAGTATCAGCAGATATGTACATGAAAAATATTGGTTATTGGTATCGGGCCACACTATCGGTGCATCCCTATCATGCGTGTGTTACAAGAACAATATTGTAGAGTGCTTTTATTTTTAAGTAAACAATATATAGTTTTTTCCACTATCAGCTAATTGACATTGCTGTCCAATTCAGTAAACCACAATGTTATTTTCAAATACTTCCCATGTTTTTTTTGTTTACATGTGTGTTTCATTTACATATCAGTGGGTCGGTTTTAGGGTTTTCTCTCACACTCTTTACTGCACACTTTGTTCCCCCAGCCAACAAGGAGGGTAGCCCCAGCCTGGTCAAGCAGGGCATATTGGAACAAAGGGAGGGTCCATGGGGCCGCTGGAGTGCCTGCCATGTGGAGCTCACACCCTGCGAGCTGCGGCTCTATAGCCTGGACAGCAGTGGGAACAGGCAACTATGCACCGCCCTGTCCCTGTCACACTGCCAGGGTGTGGGCGCACCGCACCCACAGGACGGCCGCGTTCTTCAGGCCCTTTTCTTCAACAGCACCCGTCTGCAGCTGCGCGCCCCCTGCCAGTGGGAAGCGCTGGAGTGGCGCCGGCTCCTCTGGGAGCGCGTCCTAGCCGCCCGTCCCGCTAACAGTCAGGGGGAACCACCGACCCCCCGCGAGACGGATCTTGACTCCAACTCTGCTGTCCCACGTCCTCCGGTCCGTCCCACGGCCCTGCCCCTGTTCACCCAGCGCTGCGCTGACGTCCTTAAGGCGGGCCTCCTGTACCAGCTCAGCGACCTCAACAACTGGAGCACCTTCACCTTCGTGCTCAGCCGCACTCAGCTGCAGGCCTTCCCCACCGAGGGCCGAGGCCCTGTCCATGAGCCGGTGCTGCAGTACCCTCTAGCATCCTGCCTTGCAGTGCAGCGGGACGAGGCCGATGGCGCCACCTGCGCCCGCTTCCAGGTATAGATGGGCTTGCTTACTTGAATACGGTCCCTTAAAATACATTGTGTATGTTTGCATGAACATTATATGTCCAAAGGTTTGTAGACTCCAGAGAAATCAAGGGTTTTAATAGGGAGTTTATAGCTACTACTTCGCTGCTGCCTTTACTCTTCTGGGAAGGCTTTACACTAGATGTAGGAGCATTACTGTGAGAGTTTGATCGCATTTACCTACAAGGTCAGGTACTGATGGTGGATGTTTAGTTCTGGATCTCCAGCATATCCCAGAAGTTTTGGATGGAGCTTCATCACTCCAGAGAACTCAGTTCCACTGCTCCACAGCCAAGTGCTAGGGTGGGGTTTATAACCCTTTAGCAAACATTTGGCGCTGGGCATGGTGACTGTGTTCGGCTGCTCCAGAGCATCCCGTTCTAATGGCCAATGCTTCTCTATGGAGGATATACAAAATGTGTGTGTGCAGTTGAGCACCTGTCTTGGCAGTGGGTGCACTTCAGTAATTAAAAAGACTTTCGGATATTTTTTGAGATATATTGTGTGATTGTATTGAAGAACACACTTTATGTTTGTTTACTTTGTTTGCATTTGTTACAGGCAGAACTGGATTTTTCTTAGTATCCATCTGTATAATCAGATATTCAAATAAAGCGTCTGCAGTTTTGGGAATTCCAATGGATTTTCTATAGAATTTCTGTATAACTCAAACACTGAGATGTAAACAACGTTAAAAGTCATTCAAAGTGGTTTGATGCAGAATGATTCATTATAGAGAATCTCACCGACTTCAGGGGTCACAATGTCTACAACACAAACATCAGCAAACTTGTATGTGTCTTCTGAGCTTTTATATGTAATGTTGATGATGGTAAAAAATCAAAATTCTGAAAAAATAAGTTTTCTTTGGGGGCTATTTTGCTTTACAGCAGACTGTCTGTACTTTCACCATGAATAGAAGTTTTAGGCCAAAACCTGATCTCAAAACTATTGTAAAACAAAGTCTCAGGCATTAGGCAGCACATTCATAACCACTTTATGTAACAACTTTCTGTGAAGGAACATCTGTTTCCTATCACCTCCACTGTGAACAATTCTGACACTGTAAGCTTCTCTAGAATGGAGCATTTCACCAAACCTCTCTGAATGACTCTGTTTACATCTGTTCACCTTTAAGTGAAATGACAACATCTACGCAGAGTTATATATGGAAATATATCAAACATAAAAATAACAAATTTGTATGCTGTACATATGTGCAGCTCAGAGTTATCATTTGTTGGTTAACTGGTCAACTGAAGGTCAAATCACATGCCTAAAAATCATGACATCACTAAATCAACCAGTCAACTATAAATTACTTCATATTCTAGCTGCGCAATAAACAAAGGTTATACCTTTCTGATTTTCATATTTATTAATAACCCTCCAAGATAAATTGTTATATTTCATTCCAAATAAATATTATGTAAAGTATTCCAAAGCAAGTATGGTTAACATGCCCATCCCTACTTACAGGCCATCTTCCCAGATGAGGTGCTTCGTCTGCGGGCGGAGAGCGAAGCCAAAGCCCAGGACTGGGTGGAGGCCCTGCGCACGGCTGTGGCTGCCCAGAGGCCGCAGGGAGAGAGCAGCCACCAGCTAGCGCCCCCTGGAGTGCTGATGAGGAGCAAGCCAACCCGGGAATGGCGGCAGAGGGAGGCCCAGAGGGCTAAACGGCAGTCCGTCACCACCAGCTTCCTCAGCATCCTCACCTGCTTGGCTGTGGAGAAAGGCCTGACTGCCCAAAGCTTCAGATGTGCAGGTTAGCGCTGTGTTAACTAAGCAGTAGCACATCATATCATCAATATGTTTGACTGTTCACAAGTAGAAAACATGTCCAGACATTTCATTTAATAAGAACTGTTTACCCTAACCGACTACTTAGCTGTCTTAATTGAAAATTTTGTGATTAGCGTCATCATTAGTTTGGGAATTGACAGTCCACAGTCAACAGTGCATAAAACTAAACATTTTTTGTTGTACACTCGAGGTAGGTCTTGATTTGGGCAATGTAAAGCCTGAAATAAAAGTTTTTTGGACTGCGTCATACATCCTTACATATTAACTTCACGTATGCCACGCACATGCTCAAACAGAAGGTCCAGCTCGGTATTTAGGTCTCAAATGCAAAATCAACATTATCCTGATAAAGATATGATGAAAATAGCAGACAATCCACTCACGCCCTCTTAAGATACGGCCTTCACCAAGATTTGTGAGATTCAGATTCTTCTGCTCGGTAAAGGGATCCAAAGCACGACCCATGTTACAAAATGTTCTTCCTCACATTGTGTGTAGTTACACATTTCCACCAGAGAGGTCTCCAAATCCCCAGATCATACATAGTGCGACTTTAATGTAACTTGGAGTTATTTTTGTGGTTCTTTTTTATAGCACAGGATTAAAATACTCTGGGATTATTTCAAAGTTCTGTTTTATAGCACTGATACTAAACCAGCTGGTACTGAACCGTGAATGACTGAATATTACAGCAGTGTCTGACGGTTGGAGGCACATGTATATGGGGCGCATGTATGAGACAAATGATGTCCTTTAACAAAATTCAACAAAGCGCAGTTGGCTTCTTATTCACATTTCCCGGTCTGCCTTAAATGATGTAGCAGTTACACTCAGGTGCCTGTACAGATGTCAGTACGTAACTGCTGCTCCGTTTAAGGTGGAACGGAAAAATAGAGCAAAAAGCTGCCAAATAAGAAGCAACTTCAGCCTTGTCGGAATTAAGGTGTGAAACAACGTATAGCAGCATTTTTGCCAGGTCAGGAGGACTAGTGTTAGCAATGTTGACATAGGTTTATTTATATATTGTTTAGTTTTGTTTTCACTTTTCTGCACAGTGAAAATATTTCAGGTTTGTGTTGTTTGGTAAAAATGGTTCTTATAAAATAAAGGGACATCTCAGTATAATAAGCAAAAATAGGAGGTTTACTTAAGCGTAGTAACAAGGAGGTGGTCATAATGTTATGCCTGATCGGTGTATATCATTTTTTTGTTGTTTTTTGTTTTTTTTCTAAAATGGCTTTAATTAAAAAAAAAAACAACAACAACAAAAAACAACAAAAAAAACTGATATACATCGATCAGGCATAACATTATGACCACCTCCTTGTTTCTACGCTCATTGTCCATTTTATCAGCTCCACTTACTATATAGGTGCACTTTGTAGTTCTACAGTTACAGACTGTAGTCCATCTGTTTCTCTGCATACTTTGTTAGCCCCCTTTTACCCTGTTCTTCAGTGGTCAGGATCCCCATGGACCCTCACAGAGCAGGTACTGTTTGGGTGGTGGATCATTCTCAGCACTGCAGTAACACTGACGTGGTGGTGGTGTGTTAGTGTGTGTTGTGCTGGTCTGAGTGGATCAGACACAGCAGTGCTGCTGGAGTGTCCACTCACTGTCCACTCTATTAGACACTCCTACCTTGTCAGACCACCTTGTAGATGTAAAGTCAGAGACGATAGCTCATCTGCTGCTGCACAGTTTGTGTTAGTCATCCTCTAGTCCTTCATCAGTGGTCACAGCACGCTGCCCACAGGTCCTGACCACTGAAGAACAGGGTAAAAGGGGGCTAACAAAGTATCAGAGAAACAGATGGACTACAGTCTGTAACTGTAGAACTACAAAGTGCACCTATATAGTAAGTGGAGCTGATAAAATGGACAATGAGTGTAGAAACAAGGGGGTGGTCATAATGTTATGCCTGATCGGTGTAAACTGTACATGATATGCATTTTTGGCCATATGGCAAACTACTACCCAGTACAAGCAACATATCTGTCTTTTAAAGTGCTCCATGTTAGTGCAAATCCTTTCACTCTTCAGTTGCACAATGCAGCGTCTTATCAGGCTGCTTTCATGACCTGTGAAGGCCTTCAGAGTTTTTCCATCATTTCAGCCAATGACATCACCCGAGCGTCATGCTTTTTTAACTCCGGTTAACCGAGGCTGCACGGAATCATTTTCTATTACTCAAACAAACAAGCATCCGTCTTACAAAGCCGGCGGTGAATCCTCACCGCTGCTCTATAATTTGGCAAATGGGCACTGTCCCCCAACTCCATATGCTGCATGTGTTTGTTTATGTTTTGCTTCATGACAACATGGTATTATTCATAGTCCTATGCTGTCTGCCTGTGGTGGCGGTGGTCTGCTTTGTTGTGGTGAGCTTCAAAAGGTTAGGTAGACAGCAGGGGAGGGACTCTGTTTTAACTCAGTATTCTCATTTCAAAATACAGATAATAGCTGTAGTGCAGAGCATTGAGGAGATCTCAGTTTTCCAATACTGGGTATCCGATATTGGATATCAGCAGAAATGTGGGATCGAATGTCGAAGGAAAGACAGAAAGCATCTGATGCAATTGTGCCACAAGCTTAATCTGCATGCATGTTGGTGCTGAATTGTAAATGAAGTTGTATTATGACATCAGTAACCACATCATGATGAAATGCTGTGTGCCGTGAAAAAGTATTTGCCCCCCGATTATCTTTATTACTGCACGTCGCTGTTGTCGGAAGAAAACCTCGTATCTCCATTTCTGACGTTTTTTAGTTTGTGACATAATGTGACAATACCTGTTGCCCTTTATATTGTGTGTGAATTTCGTGATGAACATTGACTTACATTAAAAGTAAAGTAGGTTTTTTCCTTCTCCTGTAAAGTTACCAATTTTAGATGCGAGGTTTTCGACAACAGCGATATTTGTCACACTGAATGCTTTTAGATCTAAAGAGAACAATAAACATTATTTTAATTATTCTAGAGCAAAAATATCCAGCTCACTGATCATCCCCTTAAACCAATAACTTTCTTAATATCCTCATGACCTTTAGCAGCGATAACTGCAACTAACATTTGCTATAATTTGATATCAGCTTTTGACATTGTCCTGGAGGAATTTGAGCCCAGTCTTCTTTGCAGAGGTGCTTTAATTCCAATATACTGGTAGATTCTCAAGCGTGGATTTCTCATTCGAGGCCTTGCCAGAACATCTCTGTTGTTCAAAGTCAGGACTTTGACAAAGCCACTCCTTTTACATATTTTTTTTGTATTATTATGTTTTTAAATTTTTACCCCAATTTAGTCATAGCCAATTCCACCCGCTAGTTAGGACTCCCCCAATCACACACAATGCTATCAACGCTAGGAGGGCGAGGCTAACACAGGCTTCCTCCGAGACCTGTGAAACCAGCCACCGCATCTTTTCGAACTGCCGCTCACGCAACGTCATTGGACAGCTGAACGCGCTCGGAGGAAAGCGCCAACCACCAGATCTGTTACGTCAGCTAACAGACGCCTGTGCTGACTAGCATCGCGCTGAGTGATGGGGGGAGAAGGAGGGGCCATCCTACCCACCCAGACAGAGCGAGGCCAATTGTGCTCTCTCGGACTCCCGGCTACGGACGGCTGTAGCATCACCAGGGATGGAACTCGCGATCTCCTGATGACAGGGCCAACGCTTAGACGGTTGCGCCACTCGGGAGCCCAGACAAAGCCACTCCTAAACATTTAACATTGTCTTCCTCCATAACCCGATTATGTTTCAGCTTCGGCTCATGTACGAATCAATGTCATGGATTCTCTGATGCAGAACACAATTCGTTGTGTCCTGAGGGGGCAAAACATCCCCACACCTTCTGACTACCACCGCAATGTTTGAATGTTGGTATGATGTTCCTGTTCTGAAATACAGAACGGCAGATATAAAGGGACCTTGTGCAAAAAGTTACACTTCAAACTGGTCTTTGTTTAGTACGTTATCCCAAAAGACTTGGGGGATGTCCAGGTGCTTTTTTTGTGAATCTGAGGTGAGGATTGATGTTTTTTTTGGCTAGCGGTTTTATGCTTTGCTGCTCTTCCATTAATATCACTTTTTCCCCCCAATTCCTTTCTAACTGTGGAGTCATGAATACTGAGCTTAACTGAGGGTACAGAGGCCTACAGTTCCTTGGATGTTCTCCTGGAACCCTTGGTGGCTTTCTGGGTGATTTTGCCTCTGTGCTTTTGGGGAAATTTTGGCAGACCGGTCACTCTTAATAAGATTCACAATTTTTTCTAGCTGTAGTGGGCAGTATGGCCGAAAGTTTGAATCAAGATACAACTAAAATGTATGTTAATTTTGGTGTATGTATATATATATATATATATATAATTTGTTTTTTTATTTTTTTTATTTTTTTTATTATTATTATTATTTTTTGCTTAAATAAACCTCTTTTTGTCATTTATTTTTCTGTCCCTTCACTTTTTAATAAGAAATATTTTTAACAGCGTGTTTTTTTGAAAATATGCCAGCTAAAATTTTGTAATTATGACAGGCCTAATTTTTAATCTTTCATAATTTGCGTGTTGAATGGTACCTTCCACTGTCCCCCAGCCACGGTGCAATTTCCACCCTCTTAAAAGGTATGAATGAGTCGCTTTCCTCCTTCTTGGTTGTAACCAGTGGTCTTTTAATGCAGGGGGTTTGAAAGCCTTACTAAACAAGAGAAGCAGGCACCTGACGATAATTGGCCCGAATACAGCAGGAAAAGAAAAATGCTCAAAGGCGCCCTGGATGCTCCGATCGGTTCGGGCTCTAATTGTTCGATTCGGTGATTCAGTGCTACGAAAGAATTTTGAATGAAAGGTGTCGGTGTATGGAAAAAAGAGGAACAGCTGGATACAAGTCTGTTCTTTCACCAGTGCTCTCTCTCTCTGCCTCTCTCTCTTTCCCCCTCATTCATTCTTTCTTTTCCTTCTCC